CAGGACTCTGAAATCTGTCATCATTACTAAATAATATTTTTTAAATATGTTTTTATTGGTTTTAGAAAGAGAGGAACGGAAAGAGAGAGAGAAATATTGATGTGAGAGAGAAATATCGATCTGTGCCTTCTGCACACCCACCACTGGGGATCGAACCACAACCGGGCATGTGTCCTGACTGGGAATTGAACCGGCGACATTTTGGTGCATGGGATGATGCTCAAATAACTGAGTCACACCAGCCAGGACCACTAAATAATATTTAACAGGTCCCTGTAAGCTAGTAATGTTTTTCAGTTTTAAATAGTTGAAAAAATAATATAAGAATAACATATCATGATATGTAGAAATTATATAAAATTCAAGTTTCAGTGTCCATAAATATATTGGAACCACGGCCACACTTATGTGTTCACATGGTGCCTATGGCTGTTTTCATGCTGTGCGGCAGATTTGAGTTGTTGTGACAGTGACCATATGGGTCAGTCTCATCACTTTGTACTTACTGCTGCTCAGTGTCCACAAGTCACAGTGATGCAGTTATAATAACTCGAGGGTGTTTTAGTGTCATGCATATTGTCATCATATGGTATATTATTTTATTTTTTATGATCAGTGCATGGCAATCATGTTAAAACAAGAAAAAAAAGAGAAAACTGGACTTAGTGTTTTAAAGCTGAGTGAAGTATAGATTATTTTGTTATAAGATTAGATGGCAAAGCATTGTGTGTCTTATACAGTGACACTATAGCTCTGCTAAAAGAACATGATAAATGTCTGCATTATCAAAATAAGCAGTCATTGCAATATTTCCAGCTTACAGGACAGCAACAGTCAGAATAATTAGAAATTTTAAAATGAAATATCACAGCAGAATTTCATCTCAAAAAAAAAATGAAAATGAGTCTACAACCAAAATAAGTTTCTGAGTGGTTCATTTGTTAGCTGAGCAAGGAATGCCATCTACCAATAATGAATTAATTAAATCATGTTTGATTGCAATAGCTGAAAACATGTGCTCAGAAAAAATAAACATACTTAAGACTATTAGCCTTTCAGCAAAAACAGTTGCTCAAAGAATTGAGGACATCAGGAATAATATACTAATTATTTAAAAAACAAGGCAAATGGCTGAGTTTTTCTATTTTTCCAGCACTGTTTGTTGTAAAGACTCTTCTCATTTAATTGCATTAGCATCCTTGTTAAAAACCAATTGAGCGCCCTATTGGGTTTGGCTGAGTGGATAGAGCATTGGCCTGCGGACTGAAGGGTCCCAGGTTTGATTCCGGTCAAGAGCACATGCCTGGGTTGCTGGCTCGATCCCCAGTAGGGGGCATGCAGGAGGCAGCTGGTCAATGATTCTCCCTCATCATTGATGTTTTTATCTCTTTCTCCCTTTCCCTCCCTCTCTGAAATCAATATAAAATACATTAAAAAAACAAAACAATCGACCATAGATATAAGGGTTTATTTCTGAACTCTCCATTTTATTCCAATGATTAATGTGTCTATCCTTATGGCAGTACCAAACTATCTTGATTACTATAGCTTTGTAGTAAGATTTGAAATTGTGAGGTGTGATTTTTCCAAGTTTATTCTTTTTCAAGATTGTTTTGGCCATCATGAGTCACATTTCCAAAAAAAAATTTAAAGGTCACCTTGGCAATTTCTGAAAATATCATATACTAGTGGCTCTGCGCACGAATCCATGCACGGGTAGCTCGCTGCCGCTTGCCTCAGCTGACTGCCCCGCCCACCATCGCTCATGGCTCTCTGCCACTCATACCTCGCTGCCCCACCTTCCTGTAGCTCTCTGCCACACGTAGCTCGCTGCCCTGCCCTTCTGCTGATCAGTTATTATGTAATGGTGTCCCAACCAATTTGCATATTACTCTATTATAAGTATAGATTATTGACTAAATAGTGTCAGGAATGAACTTCATTCTTGTGGACTTGACCACTGTCAGTTCCATGCATTTTTTTATAAATAGAAATTGAATATTCTAATTTGCCCTGCTATGTAACATTTTACTAGCTTAGCAGTAAAAAGTTTTACTGCAAATGTTTGAGCTCAAGGTCAACACTAAAATTTTTGTGAATGAGAATGCTTATGGAACACTGAATGGCTTTGGAAATTTTGGTTTTTGCTGCAGACTTGATAATATTTCTTAATAAATTCATTAACAAATTACAAGACAGAACAAGTATTTAATGTAAAACTTACAGGGAGGTAAAGCCATTCTAATAACAACTAAATTGTGGCTTATAAGTAATGTTAACCTATTTTACACACTTCCCCTGCTGTCAAAAGTTGAAACAAGAAATGAGATGTTTACCCTGATTCAGATTGCACTGGATTTACTTTTCAAGTTCAAATTACACCTCCACCATTGTCTTTCAGATGTCAATACAAATGCAAAGGAAATTTCCATATTTTTTAAATATAGCATATGTTGTTTTTTTTGTGTTTCATTTATTGTGCTTTATAGATATTATGTTTTTTACAAATTGAGTGTTTGTGGCAACCCTGCATCAAGCAAGTCTATCAGCATTTTTTCAACAGCATTTGCTCATTTCCTGTCTCTGTGTCACTTTTTTGGTAATTCTTGCAATATTCCAAATTTTTCATTATTATTATATCTGTTATGGTGATTTATGATCAATGATCTTTGATGCTACTATCATAATTGTTTGCACCTGTATGAGACTGCAGATTTAATTAATAAATGTTGTGTGTGTTCTTACTGCTCTACCAACCAGCAGATCCCTCATCTCTTTCCCTCTAATTGGGCCTGTTCCCTGGGACACAACAATATTGAAATTAGACCAATTAATAACCCGACAATGGCCTCTCAGTGTTCAAGTGAGAGGAAGAAGTGTACGTCTCTCACTTTAAATCGAAAGCTAGAAATGATTAAGCTTAGTGAGGAAGGCATGTCAAAAACCAAGATAGGCCAAAAGCTAGGCCTCTTACACCAGTTAGCCAAGATGTAAATGCAAAGAAAAGGTTTTTGAAGAAAATTAAAAGTGCTACTCTAGTGAACACAGAAATCATAAACAACCTTGTTGCTGATATGGAGAAAGAGTTAGTATCTGGGTAGAAGATCAAACCAGCCAATTAAACAAGATGTGCTTTTTTAAAAATTCCATTCCTATTAGTAGACCTGTGTTACCAAAAACTTGTACTCAATTATTATTAGTATATATTCAGTTTTATAAATAAAAACTTTGGGAAATTTGTTCTTTCTTGCTCTGTACCTACATAATATCCTTGATTTTACCTCTTGCCTGCAAAGCCTAAAATATTTATCATCTGACCCTTTACAGAAAATGTTCGCTGACCTTGCTCTGGGTAAATAGACCTTGCTCTGGGTAAATAGATATTTACTAAAAGTGTAGCTTTCATCTATGAAATGCTCTTCATTGTATATCCCTGATTTAGGATTGCTTTTGGAAAACATACCTAGGTTTTATGGATTGATAAACTCCTAGAATGGTCACGTAAGCTAGGCTCTGTGAAATAAAATGGAAATGTGTCACAACTTAAACACCCCCCACTGTGCGAGGCGACCTCCAAACCTCACTTAGAAGCCTCAGCTATTATTCTAGACTACAGAGTACCTATATGGTGTTGGAAGGAAGGCCCTATAAGCCAGTGGAATGTTCTAGACCTCTCCTTACTCTGCCTGTGCCTCTTGGTTGCTGTATCTTTAAAATTATTAATAAAGCTTAATATTAGGTAAGATCTCTGATATTTGTGAATCAGATGTAACAGTGTTAGTCAAGTACTATTTATGTATTTGAAAACCTCAAGTCAGTTTTCAGCAAATCACAATATACAATTCTGACAAGACCACCTTAAATATTATTTTATGATTGGGGTAGAGAATAATGAATTTCTCTTAAAATAGGTAAAAGAACCATATTTTCTAATATAATTACTTAGTGTAATTCAGTAAGGAGCATATGTTACCTTCTGCTCAAATGTCCACATATTTCTTGAGGTCCCTTTAAGCTCAGTCCTTTCTGTTGATAAAGATATTTTATAATAAAATATCTTTTCATGAAAACAAACCAGTATATGCAAGTGATAAGGATGCTAAGATCAAATGTGCAGCAGCATCTATACATCATCTGCAGTGAAAGTTAAATTAGATCATCTCAACCCTATTTGACCTAAGGACTGCATTGAAAAATGATTATCCCTTAAAATTTTTCTAAAATGTATTGTTGCCTTTGAGATATTTTTACCCCGTTTTTAAAAATTGATTTCAAAGAAGAAGGGAGAGGGAGAAAGAGATAGAAACATCAATGATGAGAGAGAATCATTGATCTGCTGCCTCCTGCACAACCCCTACTGGGGATTGAGCCCCCAACCCAGGCATGTGCCCTTGACCGGAATCAAACCTGGGACCCCTCAGTCCGCAGGCTGACACTCTATCCACTGAGCCAAACCAGCTAGGGCATGCTCCATTCTTCATGGTATAATTCTTAAGTTTATACCAAGGAAACCTTCCATCTCAAAACTTTAGAGTTTTCAGGGGGGGAAAAACCCCCACAAAACTTCTCCGTAATTCATATTGATCTACCTTGGAATATTTTGGCCCTGATGAGATCTGCTACTATTGTCTTTTTCCTAAAGATGTATAACTTCAGTCCTCTGAAATAGTGTTTGCATATATTTATAACATTTCTACTTTGTCTTATAGACTCCTCATAACTGATTGACAAGAAAAAACTTGTAAATATGGAAAAAAATTAACTATTTTATTTTATAAGTGACAACTCAGTGCATATCACATTATAGAAGCATTACATCATGATGATGGTGATGATGAAATTGAAAGACTTTTGAATCAAATGAAAATGTGTACTAAATTGGTCAGTGGGAGAAAGAATGATGGGAAACTTTTAGTAAAAGTAATTAATTTGAGTGGCTTTTGCCATTATGAAACATACAGTTGTAAATATATATGTATCCTTTTATTTTTGTTTTTAAGGAAAAACATTAACTTTTGGGCTACATCTGGAATAGCATCATCTACATGGGCATTCCCTTCTACAATTTCAGAAAACCTCTGGTAACTAATTGATACAATGCAGACGACCTTCCAAACAGATGAAGTTAGCAATACCCAAGCTCTTAGAAAAGGAAAGAGGAAAAGGACGGAGACAATGGACTCAGAGAATGCAAACAGTGACATGGATAAAGGACAGGTTGGTGTTCTGTTTCCTTCATATAATTTTATTATCTAGCTCCTCCACAATTCCCTAATGCCTCTCATAATTTATTAGTACTTTCCCTGTTCTATTAATTTATTCTTTCCTTTAATTTTTTATTCAACCAGGGAATAAAATTGCATGTTTTCTTTTTATGTTGAACAATTTGAATTTGAAACATATTCAAAATACATTTTACCTGCTTCCATTTAAAAATGGCCAATTATGCCATTGTTCAAACTTTCCTTGGTGTTCTGAGAAATTAAAGATCAGCGAACTGTCAGCAAATACGTTTTTCTTTCAAAAAACACTGGAGAAATTGGAATACCTCTTCTTTAACATTTACTGTTTTCTTTTTTTTTTATTACATTTTCTAGCCCATCTTCATAACTGGTTTGGTCAGGGTGCCTTTCCTATTTTTATTTATTCATTGATTCCTTTTTGAGCTAAATTCCTCACTCCCTTCTCCTCAATCTATCAATGTGTTTATTCTGTGTCTTTTTATTTGTTTGTCTTTGTAATACAAGTATTTGTGTATGTCTCCATAACACATAGTGTTTTATGTGTGTGTATACTTATTTTTTAAAATATATGCTATACATTCTCATGGTTTAAAATATTTTTGGTCTTTTGGGGATGATGTCTACAGACATTCAGAATGATCCAGCATTTGACATACTGTTTTAGGCTATATCCTATAATACAACCTATAATAAAACTAGGCTGTCCTGAATCCCTGGTAATGGAAATTTATCTTTATACTGTGAAAGTTGGGAAGCACCAAAATCCACAAATGGAGTGTGCCCCGGCAAATTTTAAGGAGCTTAGGTCATAAGACCAAAAGTCCTAATGAGGTTGTCTAAAATGCAAAAGTATGTCAGCAGTGCCCATGGTGGTTCCATGTGTGTGAAATGTATCTGTGACATGACCAAGCATGCTTTTTTGATTGAGTAGCAGAAAATCACTGTGAAAGTGTTGGAGGCATAAGCACAGAATCAGAAAGCTAAATTTAAAAATGCTTTTTTGAATAATAAAAAATAAAAAGGTTATGAATATATATGATATAGTCCAGGTGGGTGTGACTCAATGGTTGAGTGTCGACCTATGAACCAGGAGGTCAAGGTTCAATTCTCAGTCAGGGCACATGCCCAGGTTGCGGGCACGATCCCCAGAAGGGAGCATGCAGGAGGCAGCTGATCGATGATTCTCTGTCATCATTGATGCTTCAGTCTCTCTCTCCCTTCCTCTCTGAAATCATTAAAATATATATATTTTTTATTTTTTTATTTGTTTGTTTGTTTATTTATTTTAGAGGTAAACACTGGAAAGTCTCCCTCCCTTCCCTGTGTCCCATCTACGCTATTCCCACCTCCTACCACATTTATTGCTTTCTTGTTATCCCTTTTGTGTTTCTTAATTCAAATAAAGCAAATATAAATATAGATATTCTTATCCCCTCTTTTGCCCAAAAAGTAACTTACCAGACATGCTGCATTGTACTTTGCTATTTTACTTATTTTGAAGATCTCTCCACTAGTACATAAAGATCTTATTCTTTTTTACAGCTCCATATTATTCCACTGCGTGTATGTACCATTCTTTATCTAACCAGTCCCCTATGATGGGTTTGGCCTGCTACCAATCTTTTTCTTTTTACAAATCACGCTTCACTGTACAACCTTATGGATATATCATTTGGTACATCATTTCGTAGTACGTTGGTATATACCTTGATCTGTTTCTGATTTTTCAATCAGCACTGATTTTAACATCTATTATGCATCAGATCCATTGTGTCTAACTACTACATAGCACCATATTAACTTATATTAACTTATCCTTTCCTCTGATGATGAACACTTAGCCTTTTGCTTCTACGAACACTGACGAAATAAACAGTGTGAGAATTTCTCTGAACTAAATACATAGGATAGTGATTTATGGCTTATAAGTTATAGGTTTATTTCTAGTTCATTTGACTGGACACCAAAACATTGCTTTCCAAAATGTCCACTTCGGTCTGCAGTACATGAGGGGTTCCTATATTTGTTCTTTTTTACTAACACTTTGCATTGATATCCAACTTTAATGTTTTTGGCAGTTGATGGGAGAAAGTATCTTGTCTCAATTTGCTGGTGCAGGTTTGGGGGATCCCTGGTTCCTTGAGAGGTAAGATAGTGACATGCTCTCGCAGGCTAGTATTGTGATTTCTTTAGAAATTTGTTTTTCTCAAAAACTTAATAGCTTTTTAAGCTTCTTATTTTACTTGGGATCCATTACAAGTAACTACAGCCAGAGAGCTTATTTGGTCAAAAATAAGCCTGAAAACTCTCCTCTTTTATTATGGCATCTGTGCTCAGCCTCTTTTCTCTCCAACTTATGGCAGTTATCTAAAGACCGCATGAAACAAAAAGCTTGAATCTGATCCTTCCCATTGGGATGGATCTCAGCGCCTAGCTGAGAACTTAAGAAGTTCTACAAAAGGCCTTGAGGTCACAGTCTTACCCTCCAGCTACTTAGATGTAGAAGTAATTGGCTTTTTCAAACCTCGCAGATTTTTTTTTATCCTCACCTGAGGATATGTTTATTGACTTTAAAAAGAGGAAGGAAGAGAAGGAGAGGGAGAGAGGAAGAGGGAGAGAGGGAAGGGAGATAGAAACATCCATGTGAAAAAGAAACATCGATCGAGAGGCCCTGACTGGGGATTGAACCTGCAACCTAGGTATGTGCCCTGACCAGGAATCAAACTTGCAACCTTTCGGCCAGGGCTCAAACCTTGCAAATTTAACATTACTGGATTCTCAGTCGGTTTAGATTGCAGGCTGTATTCTGAATGCAGATGAAAGAGAAACCTTTCATCTCTGCACACTGGCCAGCACCAACAAGAAGTCACTGATACACATCAACATTCTTTTTCCAGACTCAGTAAGCACATGGTCTTCCAGACCACAGTTTCACCAAATATATCACCAAGGTCGAACAGGAGTCAACAGCTTTCTAGTATGTTATACCTGTGCTCTTTTCCCACAGCCCGACATCTACCAGATTTGGGGTATCCTGCTTCTAGGTTTCAAAATCTGGATTAGTGCCCGGCCAGTGTGGCTCTGAGGTTGAGCGTCAAGCCAGGGACCATGAGGCCACCAGTTTGATTCCCTGTTGGGCACATGCCCAGATTTTGGGCTCAATCCCCTGTGTGGGGCATAAAGGAGGCAGCCAATTAATGTTTCTCTCTCATTGATGTTTCTATCTCTCTATCCCTCTCCCATCCACTCTCTCTAAAAAAAATTAATAAAAAATATATATATATATATTTAAAATCTGGATTAGTAATCATATATGTTGCAAAGGCTATAACAAAGACTCAAACAGTGGCTTATACAAGATAGAAGTTTTTTTCCCTTTCACATAACAGCAAGAGCAGTCCAGGGTTGGTATGCCAGCTCCACAATGTTGAGGATCCCTCTAATCTTGTGGCTCTACCTTCCTCAACACACAGCCTCTCTCTCTGGGACTAAGGTAACTACCACAGCCCCCACCGTCATGGCTTTCTCTCTACCAACACAGGAGAACACAGACAGGAGAAGGCATGCTCATTCCTTTTAAGGTCATGATGCAGCAATGGTACACATTACTGCTACTCATATTTTATTGCAATACTTAGTCATATATCTGTACTGAGCTGCATGGGAGTCTGGGAAATGTAATTGTTAGCTGACAGATACTTGCCCAGCTAAAAATCTATTATTGTAGAAGAATGGGAGAGCAATACCTGGAGGTAGCTAGCAGTCTCTGCCCCTGTACATTTTTCTATTGGGTTTTTATTTTTTGTTGTTGTTGGATTTTTTAGTCTCTTCTAGTGGTTTTAATTCTTATCTTAATTGATTTGCATAAATATCTTATCTATTATAGAAATTGGTCTCTTGTGGTTTTAGATATCACAAATATATTCTCCTGATCTGATATTTGTCTGTTAACTTTGTCTTCCATTATGCTTACTTATTAACATTTGTTTGATTTCATTTCTTTCTTGTAGGAACTTGCCCAAAGTGGTTCGAACAATACATTTTAATATTTTTTAATTACAGCAGGTCCTCAAATAATGTCATTTTGTTCAGCATTGTTTCATTATAATAGTGATGAGATGCCATAGGAACTTAACTCTTGTATCTATCAATTAACCTTTGGTAAAATTGGTTTCATTATATGTCATTTCACTTAAAGTTGCAGAACTCATTGACAATGTTAAGTGAGGACTTACTGTACTCTCCACAGAACTATGGTCTCAAAAGACACCCTTAAGTTAAAAAAAATCCTTCATTTCTATTTAATCAAATCCAGTAGCATTTATATATTTGAGTCAGTACATTAGTTACTTGCCCATATATGATAATAGTAATTTTCATTACCATATATGCATATTATATATATGTGTAATATATGTCACCTACACAAATATATGTAATAATGAGTATATACACAGATACATATATTTGTATACTTATAAAATGTATACATTAGAAGTCATACAAAAATCAGTTATTTTCTATATTTGATTTCATCTGACATTTAATTCTCCATCCTTGCTTGATAAGAAAATGAAAAGCTTAAATTTGTCCATTCACAGCAAATGACAGAATGTTCTAGTTTTTAAAAGTCCCTTTGAGCCATTAATTTAATTTCAGTCACTTCAAGATTTCAGCCTCTATGGATCCTAGATTCTTACCCTTCCCCTCTTTCTTTTTTCCCCCCGGGGAAGTGATGCAAGTCTTCAGAAGTTTTCCATATCATCCCAGCATCTGGAGGGGGATAGCTGATCTTCCTCCAAGGTTCTGATTTTCCTGCCTGGTTCCCAGGCATCCAGCAGTGTTACTGGATGTTATTAGGTACAGCCAGCCCTTCCTGGTCCGTTGAGGCTTCTGTTGGCACCTGCCACTGAGGTTTGCCATCCTGGCACCCATTACCACCTTCTATAAGGTTAGGCACCCTGTGGCCTCTCTATGTACTAAACTATTTCTCTTTCACCAGTTTCCCCAGCACTTACCTGTTCCTGACCAGGACACAGGGACCATTTGGGTTCTCTATCTGTTCTGCATGAGCCCTGGGAAGTCTGGGTGCTGTCTCCAGTCTATTTGTCCAGACACCAGTTTGGGTCATTTCTAATTTATGGCCCAGAGAGGTGCCTTGTTGCCCTGATGTTGTGCTGGACTTGGAGCCTCTTTAGGGAGCTTGTAATGGACTGTTAGCAAGGAGCCAGCCCTGCAGCTCTGGAATTGCCGCTTATGTATCTGGATGCTTCTATCATATATCCCTACCCCTGTAATCCGGCTTCCTTCTCTCCAAGGGGCAGGGGCAGGAAGATCAAAGATAACTGAACCTGATTCTCTGCCACTTTGGTTCTTGATTCCCGAGGCTCCTCCACCTCGTGGCACCGGCTCTTTTCTCCTCCTGGGCAGCAGGGACTTTATGTCATGCCTTTATCTCTTCTACTATAGGGTGTCCCAAAATTCACGCAAGATTTGAATTTTGCGTGATCATTAACAACAACAAAAAATAAAAGCCTAATTTTACTTGGTTTATTGAATCAGATTCTAATATCTGTTGCCCTTTGATTTCAATCCCTTCAATTTTATAAGCATTACCAAGTACCAATTATGGCCCAGGAGCAGGGACAATGAAGACCAATGAAGACCACAGCTTTGCATATGTGCCAGCAAAGCTGTGGAGGCCACTTACCTGATGTGCTATTCCGTACATAACCCTATACTGTATACTTTATGAATCAATAAAAAATTTTACAATTTTTAATTATAAACCTGTGTTTTCTATCAAAATTACTTCTTGCGTGAATTTTGGGACACCCTATATAAAGCATATTTTTAAAAAACTTTACACTTGAAGCTTCTAGATTTGGAACTGTATCAATTCCACTCTATGCTCCACTTTTCCAAGTTTGGATATATATAGATGACAGCTTGGTAATTTGAGAAAATTCTTTTCTGTCTCAACGCAGCCTGGGCTTTACAACTCAAGTGCAGGTATGTTCAGACTGTTATCTTGCTACTGACCTTAAGGACTATTTTAAAACTAAAAGGTAAACACGAACGCTTTTTTCCTAGGTGAATCTTATCCCTCCTTTCTGTGATGCAGCAAACCCCAAAATTGTCCTCATGGCAACAGCAAGGCCGTGAATGAGAAGGAGGGGAGAAATGGAGAATGGGGATGAGTTACAAAGATGTGAAAGGTAGTCTTGTGGATTCTGCTCTGTTACACTATTTCTCTACCTTGTGTTTCTCACTGAAGGGAGGTAGAAAGTCAGAACCCTGATTCCTGATTTTCAAGAGACACGTGCATGGGACGTTGGTCTTCTTCCCTTCTTCTGAGTTCCCCGGGGACCGTGGAAGACAAAGCTGAGGCGAGGTCATTAGTTAGAGCCCAGCTCCTCTCTTGGACAGGAAGTGCCTGGGAGAACAGGCACTTGTAGGTCCCTTCAGCATACAGAACGTGGGATAAGCCATTAAGGTCGCTTAGAAGCTTCTTTTCTTGTGCCTGCCTTGTGTTTTAGAGAGACCCATACTCGGGAAATGCCTTTCTGCCCGGTGAGAGCTCCAGTGAGGATGACGAGCCTTTAGAAGAATTATCGAAGGAGGAATTGTGCATGAAAATAAAAAGCCTGAAACAAAAACTGACAAACACCCGGAAAGAAAACAGCCGCCTTCGACAGTCTTTGGTGATGCTTCAAGGTAAACTGAGAAAATTGACATCTTTAGATGAAAGGGAAGATACATTATGAGTGAAAAGTGTTGCATATCCACTGTCAAGAATGAAAAAGAACATCAAGACCTTAGAGAAAAGTAACAAAAGTCACATTTTAAGAGAATGTATGATTGCATAATTTAATATGGGAGCACCCTGTTGAAGCTGCTAGTTTATTGTTTAGAAAGTTTTAAATTATTCCTACAAAATACTTAATATTGTGTTCATTTAACAAATGTTCAACGGACATTTATTGAGCACTTAATATATATGCCACTCACTGGTAGGCCCTGGAGAGAAAAGATTAGTAAAACAAATACGTTAAGGTATTCATGATGTACTTATGTCAGTCCCCTTTGCTAAGGAAAACACTAGCAAATGGGGCCTGTTCTAATCCACTATAGAACAACTGGAATTAAAGAGTCCATGTATTAAATGTTAGTCTCGGAGTTGGGAGGAGTGGTTTGAGAAAATCATCACATTCATGGAAGACTTATAAAGGAGAAAGATCCGCATAAGCTCGTTAAAAACCACTTGGCATAATGCCTTTTCGTAGTATCTTCTGTTGTGTTTACGTGTTTATTTTTCAAAAATTGTGTCTTCCATTTGTAGTTAAGCACCATGCACTACTTTATACAGCTGAGTATATGGCAGTTCTAGCCTATGCTGGGCAGCATTCTGTTGTAAACAGTAACACACAGAGAACATTTTGAAATAAACAGTAAACACACAGAACATTTTGAAAGGAAGCCCTCTGGCTGCCGTGTGCAGACTGAGTACAAGTGACAGAAGAAAGAAAATGAGGACGAACTGGAAAGCTATTGCAGTCATCCAGACTAACATGATGGCAGCCTAGCCTAGGGCAACAGTTCTACAATATTTTTCCGAGTCAGAAATAGTGAGACAGATGGAACATGGTGGTGAGCGAGGTTAACAGAGTAATGGCTCATGTGCTTTCCTCGGAGTATTTATTAAACTGAAGGCTTTATAGTTTTAAGTAGAAACAGCCACATCTGAATGGAAATGTAATGTTTATACCAAGCCATTATCTCTTTATTTTTTCAATTTGAAATGTTGTATTTTTATAACAGATTGGCTTTCTCTGGTGAGGTTTTGTGAAAACAAACAAACAAACAAACAAAAGCAGATAACTCTCATGTTTATATAATCTGTTCCAGAACTTAGAGTAAGATGAAAAGCTTTATAAAATTAAAAAGCCTGAAACCAAAACTGACAAACACCTGGAAAGTTAGCATAAAATTGCTGGTTAAAAGTATCGATTTTGGAGTTACAGACCTGGTTTTAAATCTCAACTCTGCTTACTAGCTATAAAACTTTGACCATGTCACTTTATGTACCCTCAGCACCAGTTTCAATTTTCTCAGTGGGGGTAGTATATCATTTTCCTGTTTTTATGAGGATTAAATGATATAATGGGAAGAAATCACTGCTGTTACAGGATAGGTGCTCAATAATGGTAGTTATTGTTACTGTCTCTGCTTTTATTGACACAAGGACTTGACTTAAAAGCACCATCCAAAAAATTATAGACTGATTGCTATTATAAATATAGGTGAGAAAATTCAAATTAAAGAGTAGCAAATCGGTTTCAACAGTCTGTGAAAAGAATCACTTGCTATGACCAGTTTCTTCTCTCTCTCACACTCCCAGATTGCCATTTCATTTTCTCCTCGCCTGCCAACTCCCCACATCTCCTCCCTTATTCTCAGTCTCACTTGATGACTTCATTCCTACTTCATTGAGAAATTGCAGGATATGAAGACTGTCATCTCTCTACACCTGGACTTGTATGCTCCACTTTTTCTCCTGTCACTCATGAATGACCTATTCTGTTGTTCAGCCAAAGGCATTATCTCTATCTGTGCATCAAATCCCATCCTCTTTCACCTAATCAAGGATATAGCTACAGAGATTCTCCCCCTCTCTCCTATATGATCAAGTTTTCTTCTCTAATGAATCATTCTGATTAGCATCAGACATATTTTTATTTCTCTCATTAAAAGTAAAATAGAAAAGATTTGGGAAAATCAAGAATTTGTTCAGGAGGTAGAACTTCCAAAGACAAGAGGTCCTAAAAGAGAGAAAAGAGAAGAGGTATAAGTTATTTTTAAAATCAATATGATAAAGTTCTAGAACTGAAGGACATACATTTCTCAACCAAAAGATACCACAAAAAGAAAAAAGGCTTGCCGTAACCGGTTTGGCTCAGTGGATAGAGCAGCCGTGGGCTTGAAGGACATACATTTCTCAATCAAAAGATACCACAAAAAGAAAAAAGGCTTGCCATAACTGGTTTGGCTCAGTGGATAGACCATCGGCCTGCGGACTGAAAGGTTCCAGGTTCGATCCCGGTCAATGGCATGTACCTTGGTTGCAGGCACATCCCCAGTAGGAGGTGTGCAGGAGGCAGCTGATCGATGTTTCTCTCTCATCGATGTTTCTAACTCTCTATCCCTCTCCCTTCCTCTCTGTAAAAAATCAATAAAATATATTTTTTTAAAGAAAAAAGAAAAAAGGTTTGTCCAAGGCATAACATTGTGAAATGTCAGAACACCAGAAAGAAAGAAAAAATTATAAAGTTTTCAGAAAGAACAAGCATGTCACATACTAAGAATTGGGAGCCAGAATGGCATTGGACTCAAAGCAACGCTGGGAACTCTAAGATAATTAAGCAATGCCTTCAAAATTATGAAGAGAAATTATTTAAATCTATACTTTTATACCCAGTGACATTATCAACCAAGTGTGAAAGTGAAATAATATTTTCAAATTTATAACCTGTCAATAATGTACTTCCCATGCTTTATTTTAGAAAAGCTAATGGAGGATGTGGTCCTCCAAAATGGGTGTGGAAAGTGAAATAAGCCAATCTGAGAAAGACAAATATCACGTGATCTCACTTATTTGTGGAATCTAATGAGCAAAATGAATTGACCAAAAAAATAAAACCCAAAGCATGGAGGCATGGAACGCCAAAAAAAATAAGACCCAAAGCATGGAGGCATGGAACAGATTGACATACCTCAATGTGGAGTTGGGGGAAGTGGGGTGGGGAGGAAGAGAAGAGATAAACCAAAGAACACATATACTTACATGCATAGCCCATGTACATGGGCAATAGGGTAAGGAAGACCTGAGGAGGTGGGGAGGGGCTGGGAAGAGGAGGGTGGGAGGGGGTGGAATGGGAGATATCTGCAATATGATCAACAATAAAAAATATATTTAAAAAGAAAAAAATGGGAGTGAATAGAGAAAGACATGGTAATCAGAAAACAGGTGGTCCAATTCAGGAGAATGACCAGAAGGAGCTACAGAATGATAGTGAAGGGAAGTTCAGGGACGACAAGTAGCCTAGGAGGAGCTAGTCCAGATTGTGGAGAGGTATGGAAGGTTCCTGGAGAGATATCTCCAAGAAAAAATTGAAATCGATAGGTGACATAATGTATCAAAACATACTGAAAGGAGATTTTACACCTCTGATAGGAGGTTTAGAGATACATGAGAGAAGCAGTACTTGTCAATATTAAATAATATGAAGTTCCAATAATTAAAAGCAACTTTCCAGTGCAATTGTCAGCAGATTAATGGAACAGAATGCATATCTCACAAATAGAACCTCTTATATATGATAAAGAAACTATCCTAAAGGCACTATAGCACAGAGGTAAAAAGTATGGATTTAAAGGGGCCAAAACACCTGGATTTAAATCCTGGCTCTGCCACCTCCTAGCTATATAAACTTGTGCAAGTTGTTCAGCCACTCCAGACCTCAGTTTCCTCTTCTCAAAATTAAAAGTAATAAAAGTGATTGCCTAGGTGACATGTAAGCATTCAGAACAGAGCCTGGCAATAGCAAATGCTATGTAAGACTTTCTCTTATAGTGTTCCCTATCACAAGTCACGGGTGTGTCACCTATGCCCTTACACAGGGCCCTGCTCTTAGAGAGGCTCCACATCGTGGTTAAAGGCTCTGTCATTACCATATTAAAATTCTTAAGAAGCTCTAAGGAGTCTTGAATTTTCATTTTGCAATGGACCTGGAGTCCTGCAAGTCAATCAGATAAAAGATGAATTATTCAACAAGTAAACCCCAGTGTGTAGGAGAAAGGACAGGTTCGAGTTAGGTTCTCATTTCACACCACGTGGCACACTAAAAATATAACTACATGCCGAAACCGGTTTGGCTCAGTGGATAGAGCATCGGCCTGCGGACTGAAAGGTCCCAGGTTCGATTCCGGTCAAGGGCATGTACCTGGGCTGCGGGCACATCCCCAGTGGGAGATGTGCAGGAGGCAGCTGATCGATGTTTCTCTCTCATCGATGTTTCTAACTCTCTATCTCTCTCCCTTCCTCTCTGTAAAAAATCAATAAAA